TCTACCTCATCAATGTCTGTTTTTCAGACACTCTTCAGCAATTGACAGCAAGAATGTGACATGAAATAAAAATGATTATAGAAACGAGGAAACATTACACAAAAAAAATCAAACCAATCATTGTTGCGAACGGCTACAATGCGATCAAATGCGTCAAATGTTTCACAACTTTGTACACACTTGAACGATTTCATAACAACCCTCTTCTGGTGACACGTCTTCCAAATTAACATCCTTACTGAAACCACGCACCTACAGAAACACACAAACCCCACCCAATAACGGGAAGAATGAAACTATTCCTAGCTATTTTAAGTTCAACCGAATTGCTCGCGAACTAGTAAGCCCACGTCGTGACAAGCAGCCTGCAAGAGTACTTTAAAAAAGTTTGATTTGAGCGCAAGATTAAAGAAATGAACAATTTGGGTTATGTTTTAACAGCATCTTCGTGATGAATACACCTCATGATCGCCTGATATGTCATTTAAAATTGGAAAAACGGGATCGTTAAACGAAACACTGACGTAAGGAGGCGCACGCGTCATCATGATATCATGCTTGCTTAGTCACCACTCGACTTGGGCCAGTATATATTAATAACACAGAGCAATGAATGAATGTTCGTCCCTCCTCCAGCCACCTAACACATTAAAGATATTCTACTGGCTTCCCGACCAAAAATTAAAACAAAAGCCAAGCACCAGTCTCATAAGAAAAACCAATGAGAAATGAAAACGACAAAAAAAGCATGTAATTTCCAGATCTGAATGGAATGAAAACATTAGGTCAAAGAAATTAAAACCACCATTAGGTGTTAACAACATTAATACAAACAACACAGCGCGTCAAACAAGTAGCCTCTAGAAACAGCTGAAACGATGCACCAGCAATCGCTGGGACGAAACTGACTGAAAAGAAGGCTCACTTTCAACATTTCCCTTGCTCGTGTTCTCAAACAAAACGTCATTGAGGAACCATCCCAAAGTCTTGTTTCCACGACCACTTGTGGTGCTTGCTTTGCCGCCACATGAAACTGATCCTGATTTTTGCGTTGTACGACTCAACATACTCCCTGATATGTTGTTACCATTAGTTCCGCCGCCCCCTACGTCACCACTTCTTTTGCCCGGAGTTTTCTAAACGCGAAAACAGATTTAAAATATCATTAAGAACTGGTTAATCTGAAAATATTTACAGTAGTCAGTCGTTCGAAGCAAAAAAAAAATAATGTTTACTCATTACTACGAGAAACTATGAAGCAAAAAAAGTTCAACAAATTTTATACGTTACCTTCTTTCCCGGAGGAGTGACAACTTTCGCAACAAAAGCTGCTGGTTGTTCTTCCTCAGAAATTGCAGCTTCTGTAGTGAAGACTGAATTTTTTTCACGTGCCATTCCTTTTCGTTTTTAGTACCGTGAAGAACAGATAAATGCGTTATTGTGACTGGTGAGCTCAAAAAATGAAGATGCGAAGGCTTCCAAATTGCTCAGTTTCGTTGAGCGGCGGAAGTTACAGAAGTAAAAAAAAGAACAACAAATACTTCAGTAACAGGTTGCAAACAGTTTCAGACAATTACGAGCGCAAAATGATGCAGAAGCTACCGTCGCAATCCTAAATAGCATATATATTTGACCGTTCATTACACACACACAAAAAAAAAAAAAAAAAAAAAAAAAA